TTTTTTTACAATACGGCTATTATTAAGGGATGACAATTTTTTTTTTTATAATAATAGAGAAGGTTTTAAATTACTATAAATGTTTAAACTTGTTTGGAGGGAGGGGGAAGTCACCCTTTGCATGTCTTTCTTTTCTCTCTTTCTTCTTTCTTTTTGTTTGTATATCTTTCTTAGTTCTCTATTAACTAGCTTTTATCTATGTAACATTTTAATAAAAATATTAATCTAAAAATAATTATCTACAAGGAAGAAAATACAATGGCACTTTAGCTGCATCCAGCTATGGATATGCATATGGGAGTCTCTTGTATCACTCATACAAATAATTCACAACATATGTTTCATCACTTTGGTTAATCAAGGTTAGTTCTGTTTAGTCATTATGACAAATATAAAACTCCCCATGCCAAGAGTGGAGAACAGTACCACCCCTTCTAAGTTGTGTCTCTGATTCAGTCAGAGACAGGCATGTTTATCACAGGATGCTTGTCCAGCAGAGACCTTACAAATACTACTGTACGTGAATTGGATTTCATGTGAGCCCAAACCTTGATATACAGGATCAGGGATAGTATGGAAACTAACACATATATGTACAATATTGGAGGGGGCAGGGCTGCTCACTCCACTTGATTTTAATAAGATATCTGTTTTTTTTTTCATATCTACAGTATTTAATATAGCCATCACTTACCAGGGAAGCTATCAGCTGGGATATGTGGATAGACATGATGTCCAGTGCAAATGATGACAGCATCAAAAGTAACTGATTCCATCTTGCCATCCTTCTGTGTCATGACATCCCATTGGCCAGAGACAGAGAAATCTGGGTGCTTCTTAATATTGGTCACATGTGTCTTTGAAGAAAGATTCAAGGATGTATTTATTTATTTAAATAATTTATATGGTTGCCCATCTCACAGCTTTGAATCTGGGCAGGATACAAAGGTTGTTTTTAAACAACAATGCAGTAACCCATGATGGCCAAGTAAACCATACAGTATATCCCAGTCTTAAAAACCACACCAACAAAACAGCTGGCCTAACCTCCTAGCCCAAACGTCTGGGGAAACAGGAGTCAGTGTGATTCAAGATCCCAAGGAACTATATATAAATTGCTGTTTATGACATCAAATTGGTGTGAATGGATGCATTCTTATGGTTTACCTATAGCTCTTCTCAGTGAAATTAGGGAATTAACAAAAGGACCATGTAATCCAATCCTATGCAAGTTTACTCAAAGAAAACCATCTTGTATAGTAAGACTTATCCCTAATATCTATCTATGTGGACGCTAAGAGTTAAAAACAACTTGGTGGTACATAATCAATCAATCAATCAGTCAATCAATCCCTAATAAATGCATTTAGGATTGCAACCCATAATATCTATGTCTTAATCTGCATAGTATGCTAAGCCAGGCATTGACAATGCTGCACTCAGTGATGCCAAATGCCCATGATACTTCAGATCATGTATAAATATACCCAGATTATTCTTAAATTTTATTTTAAATGGCAGAATTCTTGTAAGATTGCCAACCCTTGCAAGGTATCAGTTGAGAACAATAAAGTATTGTGAGATCTCAGGGATGAAATTTCAGCAATGTTCATTAAAAACAAAATGGGGGGAAGGGGGGAAAGCTGTATCAAGATGGTGTCCAGTATCTGCAAAGCTTGCCAATTCTGCATGAAGCCATAATAATAAAAATTGTGTGGCTTGGACTTAGTATATTCCCATTTGTACACCATGGTTTATGCAGCCATCTGCATAAATCTGAGGGGTCAGCAGCCATCTTTGTCTGCTCTCCTAGTCCTATTGCCCTGCCTTACTCACAGGCTTTTATGAGAGCCCTAGAATGCTTTTTTCCTCCATTTGTTATCCTCCCATCATTTTCTACTACCTCCTTCAATTTCCCATCACAATGGGGAAAACATCTTTTGACTGTTATCTAGGAACCATAAGCAGCAGCACAGGTCAGGATTTATGGGGTCCACAAACTAAATATGAACCAGCAATGAGAGGCAATTGCTAAAAATCCCTTCTCAATCAGGTTGTAATCTGTTACCTTAAAGTGTATGTATTTAATGAGATCAAAATGCTTGGCATATAGTTCAATATATTCCTGAAGCTTGGAGTTGTGTATATAGTTGGGAAAATTCTCTGGGAAAGGGAAGTCCATGAAACACATCATTTCTTTGCATGAGTTGGTAAACACAGATCTGTAAATGCTGGCTCTGCCTTCCTCTGAAGTCTCCTGGTAGAGAAACAAAGACAGATCATATATAAAATTGTTGTAAAAAAACAGAGCTGCAGGAGGTGGAAATATTTACAGTTAACTTGAAATTTGGGGTGCTGGATTTTCCTCAGCTCTGTTTATTGCACAAAAAAGGGGGGGGCAGGAGCTAAACTAGGGATGGTACTTTGCATTGAGAGAAGTGATGGATCATTTTGAGCTTGCCCATAAAATCTAGGCTTGCTAGCCCAATTTTGCTTGCTTGCAGAATTGTAAGGCCAACATGGTGAAGAAAAACTTCTTAGATCAGCCATAGGGACGCCCAGACAAAGGTTTTGCCAGAAGCAACCAAAATAGCTGATTGACACAAAGAAAGCACAATATTCATAAAACAAGTGGTGGCATGTAGTTTACAGTAGTCAGTGATAGCAACTGATTTTGGAACTCACATACTTGTATAGAAATCAATATAATCAGTATAGAGCATTTCCTAAGATGAAGCAATTAATATTAATTCAGATTCCATAAGTTAGGCCTGAGGTGAATGATGCAACAAAACAACATGCAAATTTTGGGGCTTTCCAGAACCAGGCAAAATATTACAAGGATAAGGAAGAAGTAAGAAAGACAAAATATTTTATGGATTACATATGAGGTTCCTCTGTGTGAGGGGGAATTTGGTCCCCTAAGATTTTTTTCTGGTATAAAGGAGCTGTATATGCACCTAACAATATGTGCAGAGTGACCTTTCCTGTGCACCCTGGATGGATGGAATGAATCAGCATAAATCCTCCACTTTCTTTGTTTCCCTGCAGAAAATACTTGCAAATATGTGAAATGGTATGCTGTTGGAAAATTACTATGGATAATTTTCTGTTAGTTTACACCCAACACATTTCCAGTCAATCTCTATATTCAGATCAGACCAAGCTCACACACCACTCAGTTCAGCTAGCAAAAATATAGTTTGTTGTTTGTTTATTTATTAAAGATCAGCAAACATAAAAAGGTTATCTGGCAAAATGGACAACAGGTGGGCAAAAATATGGGGGGGGGAGGAGAGAGAGACATGAACAATTGGATGAATAACAGACAATATATCTATACATCTCTATCAAAAGGGACAGAACTTTCTAGAGCCATTGGAAACAATGCTGTAGATCAATGTTTCTCAACCTTGGCAGCTTGAAGATGTGTGGACTTCAACTCCCAGAATTCCCCAGCCAGCCTTGTTGGGTGAGGAATTCTGGGAGTTGAAGTCCACACATCTTCAAGCCGCCAAGGTTGAGAAACACTGCTGTAGATAATTAGCATGGAGGGCCCCAAAGGGAGCAGTCTTTCATTGTTCCAGCTTTAACACTGTATGTATATACCAGTAACAGAATAGAGATGGAAAGTAGGACATCAGTTGGATTGGGAAGATGCATTCAATATATAATCTGGATAGAGATATACGCCATCACAATAGCTACTGATATTTCCTTAGGAAGGCCAATAAGTTTCAATTCCAGCCTCCTGGCCAGGACTCAGGTGCTGCCACAGCTCTTTCCCTTCTTTAGGGAGGGAACTTTGCATACAATGCAGCTGCCTTCACAGAGGTCCACTTGTGCAGAGGTCCAACAACTTACAGATACCTGAACAGGGCTGACTGCTGACCTGGGAATATCTTGGTAAATGGAAATTTCCTCCCCATTTTTACCAGGAAATGAGACAGCTGAATGTCCCTGGCAGAGGACTTTCATTAATTTATCCTAGACCAACAAATTCCTCTCAGGCAAATGGACATCAGCTGGGCTCTGTTTGTCTCAGCCTTTGATTGCTGACAGTGCTGGCTCCATTCCTCTCCCCACCCCCACCCCCAAGAGTCTAGGGTCTTACCAGAAGAAGGGAAGACCCTAGGAGATGAGGGGCATTTTTCATTCCGTTGAGGACAAGACTGAGACACCTACTTGTACAATCCCCAGCAGTGCAAATAATTGCATTTGTTGGGAGAAGCCCTTTGTGGGTTTCATATTTTTTTTGTCAAGAAAGAAGAAAAGAAAAGAAAAGAAAAGAAAAGAAAAGAAAAGAAAAGAAAAGAAAAGAAGAAAAGGCAATATCCTTATAGGGATTCTGTTTTATTTACTATCCCTTCTTTGTTAAACCCGATTCTGATTCTTCGTGAGGCTGGGAAATGCTTACCTACACTTGCCTTAGGCAAGTTCTCAGGAGTGCAGATTGTTATTTAGAGGTATGGGGATTATAGCTGCAAATCTATCAGAAACATTTTCAGATGTCAGAAGAGGGATCAGCAATCAGTGGCATATGAGCCAGCCTATCTACCTTGGAACTTCAAAATTCAAAGTTTACAGAAAAGTTTATTTCCATTGGAAAAAATATATTGTCTCTTTCTGAGCACTGTGGGTGACTTTATGACCTCAAGACCTTTGGGGGGGGGGCAGCAGTCAAGGAAATTTTTTTTTTTTTCTTTTTCACCAATGCCTCCTTCCTAGGGTTGAAAGCAAATAATTGGCTTTGTGCCTCAGGTAGACTAGAACTCACAGTCTCCTGGTTTCTAGCCTGCTGCCTTAATCATTTCCCATTTTTCATTTAAGGGGCTGTATTTTTGTTGTTGCTAGAGGCCTGCTCTAATTTGTGGGAACTTCCCTGACCGACCCATTTCTTGAGGGCAGCAATACACAACATTGTGCTCTAGCCATCCCCCACCCACTGGGAAGGCAATTGCTTACCCATCTTTTTCTGCTATGTGGGAAAAGTGTTTTCTGAGCTGTGCGATCTCAAGTGGTGCTCTTCAGATCACCTGCTGCACTTCATTCATGGTAGGCAAAACATTCCAGTCTAGTCAGTCACTGTGTGCCGAGGCAGGAATGCTCCTGCTGGTCACCCACTAACCTTCACGACCATTTCTTTTTACAGGATCACAGGTAAAGCAGTGAAAAGATGGACCTGCAGGGGTCCCAGCAGAGTATAGGAAAAAGGCAAGATGGCAGCCACAGCTATGTGATTGAAGCTCTGTCTGTTTTTTATGTGTGCTGCAGATTTGAGAAGAAGAAGTAGGGATGCTAAGGGGAAAAAAATAATACACCTGCCATTGATTTCCATGGGAACAAATTTGCAAGTTCTTCCAAACTGTTCTTCCAAACTTCTGTTGGACCTTCCTTCCTTCCTTCCTTCCTTCCTTCCTTCCTTCCTTCCTTCCTTCCTTCCTGAGCAGGTCAGATTGACAAGATTTCTGCCACTTTCTCCTTCTAGTCTGAGTGGCAGGAAAAACTGCTGTTTTTCTCTTCTTTTTCTTTTACTGGTCCAGGAGGGGTAAAAAAGCAGGGAAATCTACAATCTGAAGCTGTGGAAAATGCAGTCGAGACAGAATGTCAGCCCAAAGGGAGAGGAATCAACTGAAATCTGGAAATGAAATTCTTAAACCTTCTTCATTTCCAGCTGGTTTTACTCTCAGGGGTCCAGCAGTTTAAAACTGGAGTGCAGAAAAGCCCACAGCCTGCACAAAGACCCTGCCAATTTGAAAGCAATCCAAAGATTAAGGCGGGCCAGTATTCAGTCAAGCAGCTTGTAATGTTATCTAACATGTTTGCAGTTAGATTAATATTCTGCAGATGAAGGATTGCATAACTGAGACAAAAGACCACAGCTTATTCACAGGCAACGAAAAGAAGACAGATGTCAAAGTCCTGTCAAATGCACTCATTAACTTGGAGAGAGACTCTTCACGTTATAAGCTATCCTGGAATTGCAATGCAGTTAATTTTCTCCTGTTATTTCCTGCATTAATTATTGCATTATTTTCTGAAAACATATGTACATATAATGGTAAGCATGTATAACAGCAGTTGCAAACTACTATTTGTAGTAATCATAGTTTCTTGAAAAATATTTATTTATCTGAAGTATTTATAACTTGCTTTGATCTGAACACTCTCCTAGAGCGGCCTGGGAATCCATACCCTCACACGTGCAGTATAAAACACAGAACACGAAAAGAAAAAAGGAAGGAGGGAGCAAAGCAAAGGGAAACTGAACATTCAGATACCCAGCTCTTATTTTTATATGGATCTTTAAAAAACAGCTGTGACGTTTTAATTATTTGAATGCATTTGCAAGTTGGAAATGGAAACTGTTCAAAGAGACTAAAACATAGTAAAGATTTCTTTGAGTCAAGCTTGACTCCTGAGGATTTCCCACAGTTTTCTTGATGACATATGGAAGTGGTTGGCCACTGCCCTTGACTTCCTAGTCTAGCCTACAGCAAGAGCCATAAGTTGCTGGTTTCTCAGTTAAGCTGAAGGAGTGGCTCTTTCCCTTCCTCTGCTAGAGCCTGAGGGAGAGACAGCTGGAGGACAGTCAGAGGTGGCAGGAAGGAGACAGGAGACAAAGCCTGATGGAGCTACTCAGGGTGGAGATCATTTTCTTTTCTGCTCCTGCTGCATCCTGGAACCAGTGGCTTATGGCTCACACAATGGACTTACAGTATGTGATTTATTTATGTCAAGATTTATGGACACGTTTACGTAATCAGCTGAAATTGTTCAGGCCATAAGACATATAATCAAATCAGTCAATCAACCAACCAACCAGTCAACAAATTAAGAAAGGAAGAAGGCACTTTTCATGACAACAGCCAACTCCAGAAAAATAAACTATGCGAGATGTCACCCCTTTTTCTTTTCCATTTTCAATTTCTAAGCCTGCTTCAGAATCTCACACAACTGTACTCCATTTGGAGACCCTCCATAAATACAGAGAAATCTGATGGAGGGTGACTGGAGCTAGCCCAGCATGCTTTCACTGCAGTGTGCAATCAAGTTTTTTTAAAATAAAAAGGACCCATAATTTCATCTGGTAAACTGGTGAGGTTATGAAGGAAGAAAGGAATAAAGAGCCATAGCAGGCAGGTACTTTTAGGCATTAATCTCCCCCATCCCATCTATGTATCTTTCAGATTCCAGGATTGACCAAGTCAAGCATAAGTCAGTGCTTTTGAATGCTCTGCTGTACCAGCAAGGTTATCCAATTCCTGTTAATATCTGGATTCTGCACAGGATCAGGACTGGGACATGTGTGGAAGTGACAGATGGTGGCCTCCTAGAACAGAGATCTCACAGCCAGGCTATACATGTTTCACTGACGCCCTCTAGGGGTTACACCTAAGAATACCATGTGTGCGACACCCTGGCATATATGAACAATGGCTCTCTAAATTCCCTTTAGTTGCACTGGGTAATGCCTATAAAGTATCTGTTTTTAACAATGAAGGTTAATTGGGGCTTGCAACAGCTGATCTTGGAAACAACAGACATACTGGGGATCTTATGAACTGATTTTAACTGATTCTTGATTGGTCAAATAAATCTTATTGGGCCCCCTCTGGCTAGCTGCTCAGATTTCCTGGGTGTTCAGATTATTTGGGTTCTCCCAATAATAAAGTCCTGTTCAGGCATTAGCTTAATCTGTGGAAGGCTCAATTGGTGTACAGAATGGAACACTCACACTGGCCCTCTCCTATCTATTCCCAACTTCCATGCATTCAGCTGTAAGTCTGAAGGGGAACTACCCAATCTTTACTTGAATTCCATTAATAGTTCTATGTGATCTGGGACCTACTCCATGTAAAGAGTAAAGAGATGGAGTAAAGACATACAGCAATATGAATGGCTCCTATTCGCTACCCTATTGAAAGTGTTCCATGAACTGAATAAAACTCTGGTCAGGACTTTTTCATACACTCCAATATGTTAAAGATGGGACTTTTCATACTATGTTAGAAAGCAAGGAGCACCAATGAACTTCTTCCATGTACCAGTCAAGCTTTCGTGTCCCACTATGATTTTCGATAGCACACATTCAGTGGACTTAGAAAGGTAACCCATATATTTCACAAATAATGCATATACATGTTTTGTTGACACAATTTCACAATAACCATAATGTTTCTATAAGATTTTCCACTATCCACTATAAACAAAATCTCTAATATCATCACTGCAAATTCAAGATATCTTGAGTTAAGATCTAAACATACAGTATATCAGATATTCTGCCAACCAAAGAAACGGGGATGGAACACTCCAGGCATAAGAAGAGCTCCAGCATATGCAAGTAAGTTTCAAGGCCAGTACATCTGTCACACAGATGGGGTATTTAGATCTCACCGTGAATCGCCACAGTCCTCCAACGCTATCGCTCCTCTCAAAGCATGTTGGCTCCAGCCCCTCATCCAGGCAGCATTTGATGGATGCAAGACCACTCACTCCTGCTCCAATAATTGCTACACGGCGTACCATGGTTCCCTAATGGGAAAGGAATTGTACAGACAAAGCTTGTTCTGTCCTTGCATTAAAAAAATGGTGGTACAAAAAATCCCAACAATCAGATACTGATTACATCAATGATGTCCACTGTTAACCCTTAACTGCCACTGCAAGGATGCCAGTTTACCCCTCAGGAGTCATCTACCTTAACCACTAAGTTCTAGGTAAATTTTTTAAAGGTTCAATAACCTTTTAGGAGTCTAATAATCCAGGTAGATAGACCAAGACTGGAACATGCTTCTGTGGAGAGGGATCTTTCTAAAAAAGACTTTTGGCATTGCCCAAAGCCTAGAACTGGCATGGGCAGGCAAAGGCTCCTACTGCTTAATAGCTATATTGACATCCCTACCTACACTTTCCAGTTTCAGGAATGCTGTTCTAAGGAATTCAGAACAGGGATCAGAGAGAGAAGTATTGGTATAAATTTTCACCCTTTCCCTTTCCAGCTCTTGACTTGTTCCTCTTATATTTGCTGTTCACTCCACACAAAGCATACCCCCCCCATCACCTTACTTCTTTGGGCTGTTGTTCTTCTTGTTCTGTCAGCTTCTTTCCACCACACAAGAGACCTCAGCAAGGAAAAACAAATATATTTCCCTGCTAGTTTTAGAGTTTGGCCTCTGAAAGGTAGGAGGAGCTCCTTTAGAGCAAGGTTACATAACCTGTGGGCTGACTGTGGTTCCTGAGAATCTGCAGCCTTTGGGGAAACAGGAATGCACTGCAAAAGAAAAAAGAAAAGAAAAGAAAAAAGAAAAGAAAAGGAAAAAGGAAAAAGGAAAAAGGAAAAAGGAAAAAGGAAAAAGGAAAAAGGAAAAAGAACAGGTCTTTCAAAGAAGCATGGGAACTGTGTGGTTCCTCAGGTGTCTGTTGTTGGGCCAATGGCTTTTATCTTGGTTATAAATGATTAGAGACTTTTAACTTGCTTATAAATTATTATAAATGAGCCATGGGCTGGTCAGGATTATTGGGAAATGGTTGGAACTTGTACCAACAAGGCTAGTACAGTTAAATGTCAATGAGTGAAAAGTGGTCAGTTCAGTCAGATCTGATATACTGATGTTCAGTTGGCAATGACTGAAGGAGTTATGGGTTGTGTCAATATGTGACACTTTGTATTCTTTCCATTTATTTTTAAGAATCTTAATTTTTAATCCTTTCAAATAGTATCCCACAAGTTGATTTCTTAACATTTTCTTTTTATTTCCTCTCAAAAACTCCTTCACAAGTTTAACATGTCTCCTTTGTAAATCCAAGATAAGAAAGCTATGCAAGTCACTTTTCTGATTTATTATTTGTACATGCCCTTTAATTATTAAGACACTATCCAGTTTCATTTGTAAATTCAGTGTAACATCATTTTCCATATCATTCTTGTAGCCTGTCATTTTAAAATCCATTTTCAGATTCACATTCAAATCAGCCTCAGTTTTATTCAGTAAAATCTGCTCCTCTTCCTTAACTTCTTTTGAATCCATTTTTATAATAGCAGACATTCTTAAGAGTAATTTCTGAGTGAATTGTTCCCAAATATCCTTGAATTCTTCCACAGTCAAATAACATTGCTCCATTCTATATTAATGGGTCTCTTCTCCTTTAATTATAATCTTTAGTTCTCTTTGGTTCCCTCAAGTCAACCTTCGAAGCCCCCTCTTATCATATTTATCAACAACACTTTTCCACTGGAAGATTTCAAAAAATCTCTCTCTCTCTCTCTCTCTCTCTCATAAAATTTTAAACAAGGAAGTATTCTTGTAATTAATTTCAAAAACTTATTTCAAGCCCATCTGGCCTCTTAATCCATTTATAACTTTCCAAAATCAATGTTTTAGTCACCCTTTTGCTGTTTATTCAAAAAAAAAAATTAAAGTCCTTAAACTTGCATGAAACTTCTTTTGTCAAGGATAGAAGGAAACTCACCAAGTGTAATGAAAGTTGCCCTTCTGAAAGTTCTCAACATCCAAAAAGCCATTAACAAGCAATTTCCTAAAGTGGTTAAGAAAGGAAGCATGTGAACCCAGTGTCCTTTTGAAGGCACCAAACTGCAGCTTAGGCAAGATGACTTTCTCCCAGCTCCCAGAGCTCTAAAACCCACCAGAGATCACTGTCTTACAGTCTCCTTGGGGGAGCCAGTGTATGGAGCACTTGTGGGCAATCCTGGTCCTCTCCTTCCTCTGGAGAGGTGTTCCAAGGAGCTGATCAATTCACCGGCTCCTCATTCCACCACAGCTGTATTCAGTCTGCCACTGCTTTCTCAGAAGTCCCAGAAAGTAGATCTTCTCAATCTAGGATCACAAAAGGAAATTGAGTGGGAAATTCAGGCAGTACATTTTCAGATAATGCAGGGCTAAACTATGGAATCTGCTACCAGAAGATGAAGGGATGGCCACCAACTTGGAATGCTTCAAACATGGTTTAGAAAAAATAGTGGAGGCTACGCTGGTATATACAGGTGGTCTTCACTTAACAACTGCTTGTTTAATGACTGTTCAAAGTTACGACAGTGCTAAAAAAGTGACTTACGACCGGTGCCCAAAGTTATGACTGCTGCAGAACCCCTGTAGTCACATGATTGTGATCTGGGCGCTTGGCAACCAGCTCACAGTTACAATGGTTGCAGCATCCCAGGGTCACGTGATTGCCATTTGCAACCTTCCCAGCTAGCTTCTGGCAAGCAAAATCAATGGGGAACCGCAAGATTTGCTCATTGACTGTGGTGATTCGCTTAACGACTACTGCAAAAAAGGTCGTAAAATTGGGTCCAGTCATGTGATGATTCACGTAATGACTGCATTACCTAAATTCCAGTTCCAATTGTGGTCATTAAGTGAGGAAGGATGGCCTCTCTACTGCATCCAGGTTTTGGTATCTGGTTGGCCACAGTGGAGCAGAACCCTGGCATAAATTAGGTTTGATCCAGCAAAGTTCTTCTTGCCATTAGTGCCTGGCCTCTTGATTCCACTGCCTACGTTTCAAGTGAGTTGTATAACTACTCTGAGAAAGACTATAATCAAAGAAACCACTAAATAGCAGATTTTTATTCCCATTCAGGAATCAGGAGGTGGTTCCATTACAACTGGAATTTAAGGCAACATTATGTGATTATTAGCCAACTGATATATGCAGAGAAAGGGGCAAAGGTAATGAAGGGGCATCTATTGCAATGTGTTTGAATAGGTTGTGTGATAAGCAATTTGCTTCAGTACTGTAGCTTGAATTCTGATGTAAATTTGAGAAAATGGGGATTTCTGGTGATGATCTGGGTCAAAGGAAATGCAACGTCTTATGGAAAACTCCTGTAGCTACTTCCCCTTGGAATGTCTTTCTTGGCAGAGGAGAGGCCATTTGAGCTGCAACCACTCACCATTTTTATTTTCTAATTAGATTGGAAAGCAAGGTAATTCTGGAGACTGGTCTTTGCTTTTGTGGCATGCCAGTGTCCTTCAGAATGGCATTCAAAACCAAAATCAAAATTTAAAAGCAATTACAAAGTAGAGAGAGGATGGAAGCCTAGGAGCATCAAAGGAAATGTCAGTGGGAGCTTTGGACACCGTGTTGGGATCCCATCTTAAACTTACAATTATTGCAGTTACCACCATTTGTTTCCTTTGTCTTCAAGTCTCCATTACTTCCCTCAGTACAAGGATTTGTGTCAGCATGTACCCTAGAAGTTTTGGCAGAGCTTGCTTCTGCTGGATCCATTAATTTCTAGCACAATTGACGCAAATACCATCAGGGCAACTCTCCAGAGTCTCTGTTGCTTCATTCTCTGCTACAAAAGATAACAGAAAGTAAGATAGTACTAGTAGTATATTTCCCCAAAATTGTGCAATCCTTGGGCATGCTTACAAAAGCTGTGCACTTGTACTATCCAGTATTTGCATGTTAATAGTAAAGTCATATTATGTATGATGTACAGATACAGACTTCCAAACAGATGCCTTCTTGGAAATTCTAGGAATTATAATGCCAAAGCATCTGGAGGGCATTATAATTCCTTGAATACCCAGGGCAGCATGTTGTAACTTACATGCCTACCAGATACCAGGGTACTCTGGAAGTTGAAATCCACATATCTGATGGGCCTCAAGCTTGGGGAAGGCTGGGTGGGGGAAAGCTACACTAATGGGTCTGTATTCTGTTTTTCAGTGATTTCTGTTTTGGGTTTTGGAGGTTCATCAAAAATTGCTTTATCAAAAGTAATAATGGAAAGAAATCCACTGAGTAGATTCCCCCCCCCCTTCTGCTATGTACCCAACATTTTGAAAATATATGCTAATGTCTTTTTTACCAACTATGAGCATTTCCACCACCACCTGCCAATTCTTCACAAAGTAGCTTGAAGCCAACTCACAACTTTTTCTGCTGACCTCAAAATACAAAGAACAGGCTTTTTCTAATAGATATAACTATAGTTGCATATTGCAACAGTGGATAAGTCACACCGTGTTGCAACTGTTGGGTGCCAAAGGGGAAAAGTTTGAAACCTGGAAAAGGCAACCGTCCAAGAACTGAATGCTTTACGGGGCTGGAGTAGTGGCCCAGGAGACAAGAGGTGCAGTGGGGCAAGGTTTTCTCATAGTAGAAAACGTGTTTCTCCTCAAGATCTGCAGAACAGCAGTGATTCAAAAGAAAATAACAGTTTTGCTGTGATTTCCAATAGATGAATAAGAGTCTCCTAAATAGATTATACGTATGTATATGTATGCTTTTTGCATTATGTGGCTTTTTTACAGCCTCAGTCACAGACAGCTCTAGATGGATTATAGTCCAAGGATATACATAATTAAAACTGACAATATAAGAGCAGTATAATAATCATCATAGTATAAATAATGCCTGTTTCTGAGTCTGCTCATATGTGGGGACCTTCAGCAAACACTTTCTGTTTTATACTTTGGGTGGACAGATTCTACTCAGAACAGACAGTCCTGAAGCTATCTCGGCCCCAAGCCATATAGGGCTTTATAGACAATAACTATTTTTTATTTTATTTTATTATACATGTTCTTATTTATCTTTAGATTTTATACTCATTGTTTTTCTGTTAGATAGATAGATAGATAGATAGATAGATAGATAGATAGATAGATATAGATTTTATACTCACTGTTTTTCTGTTTTGTGTGTGTGTGTGTGTGTGTGTGTAACAGTTCTACTATTGGATGTTTACTGTATCTGGCCTTATGGCTGTAATAAACTGATTTGATTTGAATTGATTATAACCAGCCTCTTAAATTTCACTTGCCAACAGACTGGCAGTCAATGCAGTGGTGTCACATGGCAATACCATATTTGATCTATAAGCACATGTGCAGCCACATTTTGTACCATCTGAAGTTTCTGACAACTCCATGTATAGCACATTAAGTGATCCAATCAAGAGGCATGAGTTAGTGGCTTTCTTTTCTTTTCTTTTCTTTTCTTTTCTTTTCTTTTCTTTTCTTTTCTTTTCTTTTCTTTAGTTTTTTAGTTCTTTAGTGGCTCCCAATCCAAGGAAGGCTGCAACTGGTGCATCAGTCAAAGCTGGGCAAAAGCCGTCCTGGCCACAGCTTCTATTTGCTCCTCAAGCGAGAGCTGGATGTCCAGGAGGCCCTCCAAGTTGCAAGTCTGCTCTTTCAGGGAGAACACAACCCCATCCAGAATCAAAGTTAGTCCTAGAGTAAGTTTGTTTCTGAATTAATAGTCACTCTCTTTTGCTTAGGTTGTCTGAACCTGGTTGTCCTCATCCAGGCCCTGCCTGCCTCCAGGTTCTGGACCCAGTCTTCCGCTGCATCTTCCATTTGGCCTGGGTGAAGATAAATAGCAGGGCATCATTTGCAC